AGAAATTTCGGAATCTTCTGTAATTTCGGAAATTTCGCTTTGTACAGAATTTTGGAAATTTCAGAAATTTCGGAAATTGTATAATTTTGGGAAATACCAAACAATTTAGAACACAAGTACTTGAAATTTCCAAAACTTCCGAAATTTCCTTTTTTGGAAGTCTAAACACTGCTGTAAAAACCCGCAAGAAAGGCATTATGTATTCAAAACTTTCATTTTTAGAGCGTGAAGCCGACGGAAAACTCCAGTTTTTGAGTGCTAAAATGGATTGTTTTTACATTATAGCATAAAAGTGCGCTTTAACGCTAAAAACTGAATTTTCCCGTCTTTTTTACGTTCTGAAAGTACAAATTTTGAACATAAAATGTGCTACTTGCGGTTTTTAATGAGCGCTAATGGCTCACAATCATGGATCTATTTTGAGCGTTTAAACGCGTTTTTCCAAAGTTTTGTCTCCTTGGACAGTCGGCTAATATGATTAACACTTTTATCTCCACGAGAAAAACGCTAGTTAAAGCCAAAAATGTCATTGATTTATATCGAAAGATGATTGATATATATAGTGTAAAGGGAAAAGTCCAAATGGGGTACAAAACGCGTACCCCTGGGGTACAGATTTTTGCGGGGTACAAAAAGTCCAAAAGGGGTACTGTACCTCAAAATGGGGTGCAGTTGGCAACCCTGGCGAATAGCACAAAATTTGAAATATGGGACCTTTCGGATTCATATTCAACGGATTAAACAATTTAGCTTTCTTACTTCCTATCATACAGAATATCACTTCAAAGAGATATTTAATATTAAAACGATGAATTTGAATGTTAATCCATAAATAAAACAAAATTATTTCCTATTCATAATAAATAAAAAATAAAAAATGAACTGTTTTTCTTCTAAACATTTTTAATTATTAGCGTCATCTTTCAAATTTATCCCTTCTTCATCTTTAGTCTTAGCATGTTCGTCCATATCGTGGTTGTTACATAAACTACTGGAATCCAATAATGACTAGCACATATCATAAAAATAATATTAGATGTTTGCACTCGTAGGACACCACATGTTAAGAACAAATTACCTAGCCATGATAGAAATAGTTTATGTCATCCTGTAAGGCTGAAGAGTTTCATAAAATCGTTGAATAGTTCATTTATAAATGATACAAAAAAAGTAATCGTCTTATAATTCTGAAACATGAGCAACCTATCTTATGTAGAGAGCTACCTATTAAAAACTCCAATATAGAAAAATACCGAAATCTAAAAATCAGAGATGTTTTCAATCAAGCACTCTTCATTGACACAAAAATTTGGATGATTTCGAGACAAAATATTGAATTTGTTTTCATCAAGTCTAAATCGTTCTTTAATGGATAAGTTTTTATTTTTGTATTGATTCAATCGATGAATAGTATCTTTTCTATAGCGTCTTTTGAGTTTGACTTCATGCGTGTGTTTTCCACGAATATTTGTTCGCGCCAATCGAACGTTTAACAGTAATATTTGATCCCTGTCCAAGTCTGTTTTGGTCTCTATTTTGGTCTCGAACAAAGATAAAAATCTTATTGTCACACGCCTCTAATAAGACTCTTCTATTAGAATTGGATTTCTATCTTTTTCTGCAACGAATATACTCGCAAAAAACCTGAGCAAAACATGTCATGATCGTCTGTCTTGCCGTATTTTTATTCATTCCTCTCAAGTGCTCTTCCTTTTCCTTATCATGTTTGTATACACACACACAATGTTGAAGTCGTCGGTAGAAAGTAACAGATGAGTCATATGATAGGTGGGAAAATATGACAATAGGCAACACTTGACTCAAGAGAATAAACGGACGAGAGAAGTAGTTGAAATATTCCAGCATAGCTCTATTCTTGATACATTATTAAAAACTCGATCTGTTTATCAAGCGTAGACGTTAAATAAATACTTGTCGCATTATTTTCATCGTATTGACTGATTTCGTTTCTGAGGAAAATCAAGCAAACATAGTCTTTGTATAAAACATTCTGAAATAAATTTATTATAGGCATATCGATAGTTGTCTTCTGTTCATCGATAGAGTAAGACAACAAAAATGGACACAAATATTACAATAGAATACTTTTTACAATTTCCATCTCAAAAATATTCTATTATCTATGCGTTGAATTGTGTAGCCACGAAAAGCTCTCTCGGGATCAAAAAGTCTCTCAAACTCGATTATTGCATTTAATTGTTCAATAATCTTTTCATGTGCATCGAATGCACATATAGATAAGCAACAAAGATATGGTACACGGGTACTATTGTTCATTAAAATAGATCCTAAGAGATTCTCCAGATCAACATATGTAACACATTCTATCTCGAGGTATTGCATTCGAGGACAAAGATTCATAAGAAAATGAATTTGTTCTACTTCGACCATTTTATTGAGTTTTACTCTTGTAATTTCATTAGTAATCGATACCAATAACAACATATCCGTCGTTTCTGCAGGCAAGCTGCTTACATGCACTAGTGGTAATGATGACAATTCGAGTGACTTAAGTTGAGGAAATAGATGTATAATTTCAATCAGCAAATCAACAGGAGTCTCATGACATTGTATAGTTAAATGATTAAATTGTGCTTGCAAAAAACTGCACTTCATATCATCAATAAATGATAGATTCCAGAAATCCGCAGGATAAAAACCAATTGTAAATTGGCTGCGGGAAATCGATGAACGGCATGCACTAGTAGTCGCTCGTCGACGAAATATATCAAGATTGTTAGATCGTTGCTGAAGCAATCTCTCATTCACATATATATCATTTCGATCGTACTCACAATAATCGTGCCATTTTTCTCTAGAACACAAATGAAGACATGAAATCTTAACCAATTTAGAGTATTCTTCTTAATCTACCGATATGGATGAATAGAATACACGTATTGAAAAGCTTCACTTTTGAATTCAAAGTACCATTGTCGTTCCGTCCAAAATGTAGACGTAAATTGATCGATTGATTCACGATCTGGAAGAATTTCCATTTCATCATTATCTACACGATGATCGAAGTGAAATTCACGTAACTGCGGCATATGTCTTCTGATCAATCGTTTCCATCGATTGCCATCAAGATAACTCGTCTTACACTCTGTTTTCAAACGCCATATCTGCAGTTGAGAACATATTCGTTTGATAAACACTTCCAATGCATCAAACTCTATGTTACATTGATCAAAACACACATACTTTAAGTCAGCTAATTTTAACAACACATCTTTTTTAATAGTTTCTTCCGTTTCAATCAGATTTTTAGAGATTAAATGTCGAAGATGAGGCGTATGAGAAAGTATAGAAGTAAGTTCATTAATATTACAATCGTGATCTATGACCAGATGTTCAATTGTGCTGAATCGCTCATTGATAGATATTGGTATGGAGATTTCAGATTCTTCATCTTCTGAAAATGATATTTTGGTGAATTTCAAATGAGGTAAGCGGAAAACTATACTATATATATCACTAATACTGAAAAAGGAATCATCTTGCATCTCAATGGTCAATGAGAAGAGACGAGGTAAAGCATTTAAATAGAAAAGAATCATCATAACTCTGTATTCTGAAAGACCATTAAGAACAACTGATTCCAGCCGATTGAATGATGCATCAATATTGCAATGAGTAAAAAAGTCACGAATTATTACATAACTATTTAAATGAAGTGAAAGAATACGATGTTTATTTGGTATGATAACATGTCGACAGCGATGTTCAAGCGTGGATATTGATTTGGATGAAAGATTAATGTTTAACGGAAGTGATGAAAAAATAACAAGATTGTGCAAACGAATGTTAAGTTTTGAGAATGCTTCATATATTTCATATGGATCAAGATAATCGAAGATTTCATATAAAAGTTCATTGGATAAGTGTTCAAAACGAGTTATTACTGAACTAGATGGTATCGGTAACAAAATAGAATCAGTATAATTTAACGCTAGGTTTTGTTTTCTTACTTACTTTTTTTCATCAGATGTTTCTAGAACATATTCGAAAAAATTAAGAAATTAATGGATTGTATGATTTTTGTATCTTACTTCGCAGCCTCTTCGTTTCTACATCGGTCGAATAGTTAAAGTTAAAGGGGCGTTTACTACAATTCAAATCCATTTTGTTTATTGAATATAATCTATAAATAGGATCATTGTATTCATATGTTCATTTTGTAGTTTATCAAAAAAACCTATCAGATTTATTCATTTCATTCTATGTAACGTACTTTCACCTAAAACAAAATAGACTCTTGAATGAAAACACGCGCTTTACACCATCCACATAGAGGCGACACGTCGTTCTGTTCCGTTTTTGCTCCGTATACAACGAACATATGTAGTGATTCATATACAGCATTTCTCTCCAAGATTGGGAAAAAAAGAAAATTTTCATTTTCTGCATGCTTCAGTAATTTGAGAAAAAGTTCAAGTAGTGAAAAATTATCTACTACATTAGTTAAAGCAAATCAGTTGGAAAATTTAATTTAAAAGAAAAACAAGTAATATCCGTATGACGCAATATAACTATTATTTTAAATGATTCATTTTGTGAGAATTGAAAAAGATTATCGGACGCTTTTTGGAGTGTACTTGTTTATGTTGTTGATTCCGAATCATATAAAAATTATTATTCTAAGTTTGAAATTTTGAAAAATGAATAATCTTATTTCTTTTTGTTCTTCTTGAAAGTGAGTTCGGTCGGCCTTTTTACTCTATCGGTACGTCTTTAACGATGAGTATTTAACTGCGTGAAGACTGTATTCAAAAATATAGAAGACTATATCACATATTAGTTACTTTGATCTCGAGTTACTATAGCAGATCTTCGAATAGCATGAAATGAATGATTAGTCATATTGGATATTTTTAATAGATCTTTCACTGATATAAATGTTAAATAAACGATTTGGCTCGAAGATAGCTCAACAAATTAACAGCAGTTTTTGTTCTTCTTTTTTAGTGTTCATTGGTACGCGGTTTACATTTCGAATGTGTTCGAAGGATGAAATTAACTCGAACAAAAGGGACAAGAAAAACAGCCCTAATCAATTCTCCCCTTAGCAATCCACAGGTATTTCATGAAAAATTTCCGTAATGACTCACTAGAGGGATTTTCCAGACACGTCAACATATTTTCGAGGATCCATTGGGAACTTCTCCGGTAATAGTCGAATAAAGAGAAAATTGCAATAGCATGAAACTTACGAAATAATGCGTCATTCAAGTATTACGTTATCAGTTTTAGGGGGAGGAGGGTGGGCACCGCCCACACTGGCCATACAGATGACAAAATCCCTGTAGATGTGTTGTAGAGAAATTTGAAATCATGTGCATATTATCGAAAATCTAGCAGTGCAAAATTGTCTGTGATTTCAACAGTAAAATTTTATTCGCTTCTTCAAATTAACACTGTTTCATTCAATACTTTGAGCAACCTTAAATTGGATGGATCTTCTATTCCATCTATAATTTTTTTTAGCAACGATCGGATTCAATTTGAGTGAAATATCCACGTGCAAACTTGACTTGTATTTAACCAAATTTAGAAATATTTTGGTTTTCCTATTAAGATAAAAAATAAATCAAATGAGAACCTCACATTTACATAGCGTAAATCACTGCTCTATCAAATCATATCGAACTTAAATGTTACCTCAAAATACCAACATCAATTTCTTAACGACGTCGTTGGTCGGATTGACTGAAGCTGAATCATGGCATACTTCTCATTCTCAAATATTGCTTCAAATAAATGCAGGAATGATTTGAGTTTAAAGCTCATTATTATTGCCACTAAGATCCATATCTCAAGCAACGCTAAGAACGAGTTGTCATGTTCAGCGTGGCCATGATCGTATATCTATCGATAATCAGAAAATATGATAAACAAGACGCGTTGGTATCTCATATAAATGCATTTATCCAACTAGTTAATTAATACGATCAAACTCAAAGTTGACAATAAAGTTGAATGAGTTAAATTCTTACTCATATTTGATGTGCAAATTCGAAGATTAGCTAAACATATGAACGTTTATTTTTATTTATCTTTTATACATAAGAACAAATAAACATGAAAGTTCTATTATTCTTTTTCATTCACCTCCACCTGATGATGCCGCAGCCATATCCTGTAATTGTTTAGCTAGCCGTTTACGTTGTGCTAATGATGATTGAATACTAGCATTATTTGAATATCGAGCAAGACCGTCCTCATCACTACTTTCACTTGAATCAGATGAATCTGAAAAACCTTCAGCCGGACCTATACCAGGTAACCGTCCACCTGGAACAAGTAACCGTGGCAATCGAGCTGATCGCGATAATTTTGCTCGCTGCTGATCATCTTCGTCATTCTCGTCCTCTAATGGACGTTTTAATGACTCATTCGTTGAACTACAAAAACAAAAACAAAAACAAAACATTTTTCAATATAGAAAATAAAACAAAATTGTTCAATTAACCTTTTTCGTTTGACAATACCACTGAGTAATTGTTTTTGTTTGTTAACTATTGGAGGTAATACGTGTTGCTTGCTTGATGTTGAACGCGTATTTACTGAAGCGGTTTCTACTTCTTTTTGAGCTTTGTATTTCATGGAGTTAAGGAAAATCTTAGTTTTTTTTTTGATAGTAGATAAAAAATTATTCTAAGACAAAATATATCAAATGAAAAAAAAGGATATTTTTAATTCTTCAATATCTTCCTGTTCCAATCGTTTTAATGCACGTTGTTTTTCAAGTTTAGCTCGATCTAGACGAGTCAAAAAGTCTGATTCATCTTCATCAAGACCACGAATTGAATTTTCTATAATGAACAAATGTATCATATAATATCAATAGTTCTTGTTTCAATTTACTTGCTGACCACATATCTTCAAATTCTTTCTTTTTAGAATCATGTTGTTCTTTGAGCTTTTCATACAGAGATCGTGAATCAAATACTTCAGCTGGTGCTTCTACATGATACAAAATTACAACAAGAGGAAATAAGTTTCACGAAGATGGATAGAAAAACTACAATACCAACGGGGTCAGCTGCTGATCGTACACGTTCCCAATCAGCTTGTCGTCGTTGGCGTTCAATTTCAATTTGTTCTTCAGTTAAAAATTGTTTTACACTAGTAGACGATGAAGATTGATTACTCATTTTTAGATGATTTTACTCTGAATCAAGAATAAACCGAAAATAATTTTTCGATGAGTCCAATGCATTACTTTGTTATGCCTATTGGGTGTTGATTTCGAACCACACATGATGAAGCGAAAGATGTCACTTATCGATGTGTTTCTCAATGATGTTTCAGTTATAGAAACGCTTTACCATGACTAGAAATAAATAAATGCGAAAACCTCGGATTTAAATCCGAGTGTTATGTGTACTTCAAAAAGTGAAAAGGTATATTCATTTTTTTTTCTTTCTATAAGACATAGATCTCATCAAGATAATCCCTTGTCACTAAATTGCAAGGAGAAAATACAGGCGTGCTAAATTAGCATGGACCACACTGTATGCGACCATATCCGGTGACCACTGACTCTACTCTTAGAGTGATATAATATCTTTAGAAATCACAGAAATTACGTTCAGATTCGTGTTTAGCTTGGAAACTGGGCAAGAAGAGTTATTTTTGAGTGGATTTGCGCTTGTATCTAGCGGGATTACGATCGTAAGGAACCTCATGAATCTATAAGAGATATATGATAGATACAGGCATCAGTATTCTCCTAATAAATCACCAATATTAATAGCTATCGAGTTCGAGTTTTTACCTTTCGATAGTCCTTTTGGCTAGCTACAAAACCAGGCATTTGAGAAACCCCAAAACTACTGGTCATCTGAAATATATCTAGCCAATTTGGTTTCTGGATGCAGTTTTTGTGCATTTTTGAGACCTTTCTTAGGCGATATTTTGTTAGAAAGCTACGATTTGGTTCAAAACTAATATCAGATTCGGAATCAGCGTTAAAAACTGAGTCGATTTATATGTGTTGTGAATAATTCTAAGAAAAATTTTTTTTTTGAAAAATCCCTGTACCCCCCCTCAGGGTTGGATTAGTCAATAATGACAATTTTTTCGATAACTCAACCATTTCTTGACGGATCCTTCTCATCTTCGAACTCGATTGAGACATTAATAAGGCTGAACTGTGTAGAAAATGTCATCATGATCTAACTCTCCTTTCGAGAGTTATCGTGTAAACGGACGGCCGGACGGACACACTGACCGATTCTAGAGTGTACTCACTTTTTTGAGTACACAAAAAAGAAGCAACTATCAAGAATGTAAAATAAATGTAACTGTATTAAATTTATAGCATTTATCATTACTCAACATTGATTCATGTAATTATTTTATGTACAATATTAACTTGATTTATAATAGAAAATTAGGAAAAATATGAACCAAATGCCGATTCGTTTTTTTAATAGCCTATGGAAAGTATATGATTTTGATCTACGATAATTTTCCCATCAGACTTTTTACACGATTTATTTGTATATCATTTCACGAGAGATTCTGTGAATATAATTTAATTTCGATCTGAAATTCAGGCGATGATTTCTTATGATTCAATGACACAAATCAAAAAGTAAGAGTTTCTGAACATAACTATTTGTGGAGACTGATAGAAATGTGTAGATACTTGCAAAAAATGTTCTTATTTATTTACACCTTTCTGACTAGAAAGTTTAATAAAATAAAAGTGGTTTTTGTTCGTATTTGTAATTATTCATATTAGTTTTCATCAATGGTGTTGAACAACTGCACTTTGCGCTATAGGAAATGTTTATGAATAACTTTCAAAGAGTTAGAGTCGTTGTGTATGATAGAAGAGCAATTTTCTCTATTTAAATATCAGACAATATGTTATTTTCATGAGATATGTTCAGATTTCCGAAAAAGTAAATTTCCGAAGATAACAAATTTTTGTCATACTATTAAAAGACACACAAGAGTGCCAACAGAAATTTCCTTGAAACTTCCGTAATTGCCATTAGGTGCAAAAGTAAGTTATCAGAAAATACCATAATTCCAAATACCACCCAACAAAATATCCTGGGAATTTCTGACACCAGCTTCACATACAAAAAGAAATTTTCCGTTAATTTCGGAAATAACTACTAATATTCAAGCAAATTAGAACCACAACAAGCAGTAGATTCTCCATTACTTTTCGCCATTATCTGGAAATTACGGTAATTACGGAAATTTCTACAGTGATATCGTAGAGGTTTAAAGATAAATATGTGTATAGATTTAAAGGCCTCACCCTCAAGAATGAGAAGAATTTCTAGTAATTTCCGTATTTACTGAAATTACGGGAACTCCTAGAAATTCTTCTCATTCTTGAGGGTGAGGCCTTTAAATCTATACACATATTTATTCTTAAACCTATTCGATATTAATATAGAAATTACTTTATTTTGGTTTTGGCTTATGGTGAATAACATTGGGGTAATTACGAAAGTTTCTGATAGTCTCTAAAACTTGAATTTTTCATCCCTGTAATTTCCGAAATATGCATATTTAACTAGGAAATTTCCTTTTTTGGAAATCTGCCTACTGCTGATCTTCATATTGAAGATTCAAAGTGTAAGCCCTTTCCACAGATAAACAGAGTCAAAAACAAATAGAGATTTGTAGTTTCAACAGCACTAGCAAGTAATAGGCTGTTTTGACTCAATTCTAGATGTTTATCTTTATTTGATTATTTATTGAAAATAATTACTCACGATCTAGGAGATTATGTTAAGTATTCATTACTACCTGAAGAAATATTTTAAAAAATAAGCATACTCTAAAATCATATATAAAACTAGATGTTATCAAGAGTGATCTTTTTCCTACTTTCCTACCACTTATCTGCAACAGCGACGTTGATCCAAGTATTCATCAATGCACAGTTCACTCCGATCAGCGCAAACTCTAACATAAGCTCTGTGTCTCCTGTTAATTCTTGGCAGCAGTGTGTCTGCCAATGTATGGCCAATTCCAAGTGTCTCACAATCGCTTATCTTGGTATAAATAGTACCTGTTCATTATTTTCTGAACAAACTACCATAGGAAGATTAAAATTAGTGGCGACTTATAGGAGTGCACGTGTTATCAATTTAAATAAGATCAGTTCTAGTAAGTAAAATTTTATTTTCTTCCGCAGACAAAATTATTCTTACATTGTCTCTTACAGATTTTTTAGCACGCACGATGGTAGTTAACATTTTTGAGTAAAAAAATCTTCTTTTGTTAGTACTTTTTTTAGTACTAATTCATAGTTTTTTAATAGTACAATAAACTTTTCGGATCATACTTAATTAATTTAGTGAGTAGTTCGACATTAGAACTGTTATGATTCATTTGAAATGAATAATCAAAGATTGCCAATGATTCTTTCTAGTTTCAATTTATTTTGCAATTGCATTGGTAGCAGAAAATATTCAATATTTTATTGAAAAATTTCACAGCTGGTACTTTATTCAACAATGGCAATGTTGACATATTAAAAAATGCTTCGAGATCGATTTTTGCTCTTAGCGATACTAGTAGTCAAATGGGAACTGATAGAGTTTTTTAATAATGTAAAACAATGTTGTTGTTTGAGTCAGTAGATGAACAGCTTCTAATAACAAACTAGATTAGATTTTATAACTATTAGAAATTTGAATTTTTCGATGAATTACGAATTCTGTGTCTCAATCGAACTATAACAATCTCAAAATAGCTAATTAACAGGTTAATTTACAAATTGAGAACTACTGATTTAGTATCATTGAATCAGTTGACTTGCGTCCTAATTCTCTGTTCGTCAAGTCCGCAATTTTAACCCTTTACGGCCGGATGTTGCCTTTTGGCAACATTTTGCCAATATCATCTAAGGATTTATCTTAAAGTGATGAGATATAGTTCCTTAAGCTATTTGATAATTAATCACACGTATTTTAGGGCAAACCTATGCCTTTTCGAGAAAGGAGAAGGCTATTGTTGACGAAAGGGATGAATTCTCCCGCCGAGACCCAAAATAGCCCCCGAGTCGAAATGATCTGTTTTCCATTTGTCCGAGCATTCGATGCGAGAAGTAACTAGTGGCTAATTTTCCTCTCCAGATCCATTATCTATTATGCCAATAAGATGAATTATTCAGTTTATTCGAAGAACACAGTACAAGAATGTTGCCGAAAGGCAACATTCGGCCGTAAGGGTACAAAAAGTTGAAAAAAGTCAACTATTTTTCCTCGATGAAAGACCAATAATATGCTGTTAGTTTTAGTCCAGACTGTGAAATAAAAGCATACTTTGTTCATCTGCCCGTCTCTTACAGCCCTAACGTGATGCATATTCCCATAATACTCAAAAACTTTCGAAAATAGTGTATATTTCATCTATTTTCCCTAGGGAGGCTCACAAATTTAATAAGATTTTAACAAGATTGGTAATGTTTTATGATAGTCTGAATATGAATACTTTGATGTGCTGTAAATCTTGTTAGAATCTTGCAAAATTTGTGAGTTTCTCTAGGAAAATTGGCGAAATTTGCACTATTTCGGAAGGTTTTTTTGAGTATTATGGGAATGTATCTCACGTTACAGCTGTAAGAGATCGGCAGATGAACAAAGTATGCTTTTGCTTCACAGTCTGGACTGAAACTAACAGCAAATTATTGATCTTATATCGAGGAAAAATAGTTGACTTTTTCCAACTTTTTGTACCCTTACGGCCGGATGTTGCCAAAAGGCAGCATGTTGGCATTTGGCTTAATATCAGTTCTTTAAACTCCAAGATGGAATTCTGTAACCTCCACACCTAAGAGACAAAGAATATATAGAAGAAGAATTTTTTTCTTCCTATCTTCTGGTAGCCGGCCGTAAAGAGTTAACTGATTAATCGAGCCCTGTGTGATTAGACGAAAATACAAAACTAGCTCTCAATCTGATACAGATATTTTGTATGAACTGGAAATATCACCTTATGTATATTTTTATTCCTTTTTAAGGTGCACAAATTAATTTCACTCAAACGCACCCTGCTATATCACAGTATGCACTTCTTGGTGCTGCTCCATCTGCAATAGAAATGGGTTACTTGAGCAACGATTCTTTTATTGATATGGCAAGTGTGTACCAATCAAGCAATCAACTGATTGTTTGGCTCGGTCAAGCCAATGGAACATTTGATCATGGAACACCATACAGTACAAATCCCTTACCCGTCGATCTGTTGCTAGTTGAGTTAACGAATGATAATCTACTCGATATTCTTGTTTTATGTCTTGGCTCCAGTAATATTCTTCTGTTTGTAAATCTGGGTGGTGGTATATTTGCTGCGAAAAGGGTACGTTAACCGCTCGATCTTGGCTAAAACAAAGTGTCAGTTTATTGGAATTCTTCCATAGTGAAAATATTTTACATAAAATGTTAAATTCAATGAGAACGCCATTTCCCTCATTAATCTATTTATGGATCGGGAACAGCAATCTCTGAAACGTACTGTCGGCTGCTTTTCAACATAGGAAAGATCGATCATCGACCTGAAAATCAGTTAATACTATGCAGTTTGTTCTACAACAAATACAGGATAGATGTTCTTCTCGAGATTTCAATTTCAACTTCAAAATCATTCTATAAATAGTAAGATAAGTGCAATGAAGTAGCCCGTTGTTATATTATACGTTTCTTGACATTCGGTAAAAAAGTCGTAAATAATTCAACTTCCTGTTTCAGTTGCAAGTTCTTGTAAAGAAGCGGGCGGCTGTTCAGGTCTAAAAACATATTTGTTGTGCAATAACTGCTGAACCATGCTTTTTGACAAGTACTGTTTGCTTGTTTCGTTAAGAAATTTTAGCTAGAATATTCTAGTGTGTCAGTGATGCTAGAAGAGAACTTCCCGACTACATTCTCAGTGGGACAAGCAAATCAAATGAGAGAAAACGAGTAGCACAGCATAGCAGAACTCTACGTGGTATCTTTCAAGTAAGATATATATGAATGTTTACCATTCATGTAAGGTTTTGCACAACACAATGGTTAAATGTTTGCCACGAAAGAATTTTAACATCAACCTGCATATACAATTGCACATGCAATTTTATTTCTTAGTGTTAGAAGCAGTCTTCAATCTTTCTTGATTTATTTTATTTCAAAATACATATTTCTTCAATTAACCATTGATATTAATAGACGGTTGGCTCAACAGGAAGCTATTCATTCCCTCTTAGTATGACACTTGTCGATTTCATTAATAATGGGCTTGTCGATGTTGTGACTGTTTGTGAAAATCCTCCGTACGTAGGCGTTCTACTCAATCAAAACTACACTAGTGGGACTCAATTCACATTGGTAGCGAATACTTTATATTCATCCGGCCCTCCGTAAGTGATATTTCCTTAGTTATTCTATTTCAAGAATATATAACTTGTTATTTAGAAACTATTATCTAGTAGCAACCGCTGCAGCACATTTCAACGCTGATTCACTTGCTGACGTGGCAACCTTGACAAACGATGGCAACGTCGTTATGTATCTTGGTATGGGTAACGGAATATTGACTTATCTAGCGACTTATACAACGCGTGGTTTTACTACATTTTCATCGTGTATAGTGGCTGCTGATGTTAACAATGATGGCAACATAGACCTGTCTGTAACAAATACTGGTAGCATGACAGTGGCTGTACTGTTCGGCGATGGAAAAGGTCATATGAGTGTACCAATACTTTATCAGGTTGGGGGTGCCCCGACTCACATGCGTGCGCTTTATTTCGATCAAGATGGACATTTAGATCTTTTAGTTCTTACTGGTAGCAACTGCTATACACTTTTGACAGGTCAGTTAACATACTGAAGATATTCAATGTTCTCATGAATCGTTTAGGTTACTTCAATGGCACATTTTATACTAGCATTCCTTGTGGATACGTACCTGCAGGCTATGTTACGAATTTTGCTGTTGGTGATATTAATGGTGATGGAATTCCCGACATGGCTATTACAGCTACTGGCACTGCTAATGTTCAAATGTTCCTTGGATCAATCATTTGATTAACTTCACTCAGACATTCTTAATAGAACTATTCAAAATTTTGTAGTAAATCTTCATGGTTTTTCTTTGAAAAATAGCTACCTAATCCAAAGCATCAAATTTTAAATGAAATAAAGAAGTCCCATTTCTCAAAAACTATAAACAGTATGAAAACTATAAGAAAATGTCCATAGATATAGCTCTATCATTGTCAACAAAGCAGATGACTTGATTGGCATTCATCACTGTGACAAAAATCGGTTTAAACTCATTCACAAATGACAAAGAATAAAATAGAAAACAATCACCAGCAAATTCCATACATGCGGGTGAACCATTTGGACGTAATACGATCATGTGATTTTTGATTTCACTAAGCAAAATAAAAGTTGACTGTATTTAAAGCAATGGACAGTAACTAGTGACAGTCGCAAAGATAACATCCCGCTTTGGATTTCGCAACAGAGAGACATCAAATCGTGCCATCGTGAGAAGAACTAAATCTGTTCGATTAGCAACTGACACTATGATTCATATCAATTGTTTTAAAACAACAAAGGATGCTTCTCATTGATAGCCGATAAAAAATTGGTACATCTCAATGTTGTTCAAAACTTAAAATGTAGTTTTCATAAATTTTTCTTCTCAAATGGCACATATGAATAAGCTCAATTTATTGACCGATAGAATAAACATGGACTATTTTCATTTGAATTTGTGCATACATACAACTGTGAAAGCCATCGTGAAACCAGTTTACAGTACAACTGACAGTCAGGCTTAATATTTTTTATGAATAATTCAAAAAAAAAGGCCATTAACATACATAATTCTCTTTCAAAAACAAATATGACTTGAATGTATTTATTTAAATTCAGAGGAATCATTATTTTAAAACCGTTTAGAGATTGATAAAGTGATGCTCGAAGGATAATGGAACTATGATTGAATAATGTACTCAATTCAATTCCATTTTAAAATATTCAACACGAAGAACAGCATGTTTTGTTAGAATCAAATGAGATTGAAAACGCGATTAACAAAAATAGCAAGAACCGTTCGCTTCAACTTTCGCAGATATATGTAGACATACTGTGGGATTCATATGACAAAAGAGAAGTGCGTTTTTCTATAAAAGAAAGAAAGGCGTGAAATGCTTAGTCATGGCAAATGCGTAAAATGAAAATGATTGTTGTCAGTAAAGTAACTGGCTGAATTAGTAATGATTGGCTAACAAATGAGGAGGTACTCGAAAGCATACTACAGGCAAGTGTCGTGTCACTGCCATTGAAATCTAAATGAATGCAGGTAGGCGGTGCGTTATATACTGAACAGATTGTCGGTGAACCATTCGTACAATTACAGTTAACACTATTTGCATCGGCAGGTACATGTGTATTGAGACCGCCTTTTACTTGGAGCAGGACTTCACCAAAGTCTGGATATCGTCGAATCATTTCGTTCCAGATATATGTAGAGTTACAACTGTTGAATGTCAGATTTCTTAATACTCGAAGCCACTCTACGTTCTGTGCAACATCATTGGCATAACTAGAAACATCACTTGTGGGACCGTGACCAGGCAAAATTGTTGATCGACGATTTCCAAGTTGTAGATCACAAACCGATGCCTGCATGCTTCCTGCCCACGCGCAAAGTGCATCGTCACTTGCAGGCAATACTTCTGTTTCAAAGAAATTACTAACATATAAATGTGATCGTATAGTCATTGCATCGCCCGTGAAAAGAAAGTGTACGCCCGACGAAGTGGTTAATCCTAATAGGCCTGCATATGATGTTTCACCTTTTATCACAACGCTAAGAGCATCTAACTTCACAGACGGATGATTGAACGTAAGTTGAAGTCGAGGTGAACTGAGCGCGCGTAAGACACTTGCATAGTTAATGGCGCATTGAGCGGCAGAATATGAATTTATAGAACAACTAAAATTCACCCATTTAACAGCTTCTCGAATAATCTGTTGACTAATTACATAAATTGGCGTTGAAGGATAAACCTCTTGAATGCGAACGATGCCAGCCATATGATCTGGATGTCCGTGAGTAAGAAAAACAAACTGAGGTGGCTTGCTAGTCGATTGGATTTGCTGCTGATATAATGAGATCATTCGTGAGGTCATGTTAATTGTTGAACCTGTATCAACGAAAAATCCTTCGAGAGAATTTTCGGAAATCACAATATAAGCATTTGAATTTTCGTGTGGGGCTAACTCATCTTGTACTTGTGTAATACGTATTGAATCTATCGTAATCGCTGAAACACTATCGATAGAAATTGTTAACAACAAAAACGCAATAGAGATAATGATCATGGTGATATTACAATCATATCGAATACATGACGTACCGATTTATATACTCATTAAAAAAAATGCATCGTCATTTTGAAGTTGCGTAGCATCAGAACTGAAAAACGATGCAACGAAACATGAGAAGCAAACATCCTCCAGAATTTGTGAGTTCTTGAATGGCTTGACGAAAAGCAAAAAAGAACGAAAATTTCGTGCCAGAGCATTTTAAAGGCGTAATGTCAAAGCGCTTCTCTGTAAGTTTTTTCTTCTATTTCAAATCTGTTATCAATGTGTATCACTAGCAAATAAATCAGATTTCATTTGGTTTAAGTCTATCTGATCATAAAGCCCAAATATTTAACGAATGTCAACTACTAGCGGAGTAAAGTGAAGTGTCAAGCAAATAATAAATGTTCGTCTCTTCATTCTTGCATCATCAGGATTACGATAATTAACTTATCATGTTATGCATCACTGTTGTTGTGGACACACAATAGAACATTGCAAAAAGAAAAACTGTAGCTGTCAACAGTCTGCTATGATATCTCACTTCAGAATTTAATTGATTAGGAAATTTTATATTAAGAAACATTTTGTAAACGAAAGCCAAGCGACAATTACAATGAACTGCAACTACTGAATCACGTACGGAAAAGGTTTAGGCTATTTATCTATGAATAATTTCTCACAATTTCATTTATCACTGACGGAAAAGAACTTTGCTTTCTCTATTTGAACGGAATATCATATTTAACTCCTCAATATTGATGAATTGCAACAACAACAAAAATATTCAATGAAAGATCGCGTCATAGGATTTGTATGGTGGCTTATGATTAGATTTTCGTTGATATTCTTAGCAATACTTTATTTCTCACGGATTTCAGTACACGCACATCCGCAGAGGAAAGATGTGATTATATGCTATTGAATAATATAGAATTTGATGGTTGAAGTCTCCATGGAGACTAAGAGAAGTATCGTGATGAAATTATTGGCAATAGGTGAGTTGAAATGGCTGCTCTAAATATGCAACTTACTCGATCGATAACTAAATACACAGTCAGTAAATCAAGTAGGTCAATGGGAAAATAACCGTGCAATGATTTTCAGAATCTCACGTAGAGATCAGCGAAACTATTAAACAAGGCCTGCCACCGACAAAAGCCAATAATATTTACACAATCGCAAAATATAAAATCTAAGGTCATTTCACATCTCGGTTTTCAATAAATACACATTTCTATATACGTGTATAATTATGCCATGAATGACTCATAATTCAAGCTGAAAATACTGCTACATGGATGTAGACTCTATGTTAACAGCGTACCGCTATCAAATGTTAGCATTTATTAATAGATAATTCTTTTGATTTCTATTTCATTTTCTCACAGAGTTTTCAAATAGAAGATTACCTACTTTACAATTATCCAACAGACAAAAAAGCGTGATTCACCAGATTTGTATTGTTATGACTCTTTTCTTCACACACTACTATGCAACATTTAGTTGACGATACAATGTATGCAAGCGCAAATCGAAATCAAATGATTTCTTAGATTTCCATTCATATATGTTTATTTTTATTAAAGAAATGCTTTTACAACACTGGTGAATCGTCAAGATAGGAGTGTTCTTGAATAGACAATTCACACTCAAGTATATTCCTTTGCACAGAATTAGTTTGCATTAAAACAACTCAATGAGCTGTTGATGCCACAAAACAATGGATTGTTATAGAGATTCTAGAATTTTATTTATTTAGCAAATTGTCCTAAACTATTGAAGCCTTCATAGAAACGTTTATGCTGTGTTTCGATAGCCTGAATGATCTCGTTAAAAGAAATGAATTATTTTAAATGAAAATAAAAAGTATAGCTTCTGCGAAAGATTTCAAACTCGTGGATCATTATTTAATATCATTTGCAAACATCACAAACACTATGAAAAACAAATCTACAAAAGAAACAAACAGTAAAACTCGAAAGCAACGTCATTAATTTACATAGCAGATTTGAAAATCTATTCATATTTTAGTATTAGATACACTGGAGAAGATTGATATAAGAATATTAATTGAATTGATTATTTCTACTAATATACCGTTTATTGTTCAGAATATTTTTTAGATGTTTAAGAATACAATTTCAATAATTTTGATATGCTTTTCGAGTTTGAGATTCATTCAAATGCATGTAAGGTGCCGCTAAAGCAGAATTGGAGTAAATTTTTTTTTCTCGTTTATTTATATATGGTTTGATAGAGCTTGAAAAGTTGATCAAGAATATGTACTTTTTATTTCGATTTCATCTTTTTTTGGCTGAGAAAATCTTCAAAAACAAGAACGACTGAAAAAATGCTGTTTTTATGTTCAATTTAAATTTTTACAAAAACTACCAAATTTCTTTTTCAGTTATTTTCTGAGCATTTTTAAAGTACTACATTCTGAATCAGCATGAAAAACTGAATAGGAAAATGTTATTTGGTCAGATGTAGACCTAAAAAAGAAAAAGAAAACTTATCTCATATAAATAGCTCCATCAGACGAAAAATACGTGTCAGTGGGCATTCTTGTAAAGCTATCTAGTTTTTTGTAATAAGTGATAGAAACAATTGTCTCATCTCATTAGAGTCGCCAAACCATGGGCTACAAAAGTTATTATTTTGTTTTTTCAAATTTTTTATTTTTTTGTTGAGAAATTTGAATTTTTT